TTCACATTGGAATCACTTGGGAAACTTAAAAATCCTGATGTGCAGGTTGCACTACATACCAATTAGGTCTTGCCAGGCATGGTGGCTCACACCTTTAATCCTGGCACTTTGAGAGGCCAAGGCAGGAGGGTTTCTTGAGCTCAGGAGTTCAAGACCAGCCTGGGCAACATAGGGAGACCCCGTCTCTATTGAAAAAAAAAAAGAATGTCTGGGGTAAGGGATAGGAGGCAGACATTGGTATTTTAAAAAGATCTTCAGGTGATTCCAAAGTGCAACATTTTGTGTACCCCAGCCACTGAGGAAGAGGAATGAGAACTACGTCATGGACAGTTGAAACAAACAAGAACTATGGAGTTGGAAGATTATTAAGGCCTACTTTCACTTTTGTTGATTTTAATATGTTCTGGGAACATAGAAGACGTTTAAATATTTACTAAATTGAATTAATCTTAATTAAATCTTAAATCATATTCTTAGATATCAAGTTACTCAGCCATCCAATTTCATAGTTCTTTTAAACAATTTAAAGGAATTGATATATAATGCATTTTGGGGTTACATATAATATTTTAATACTTGTAGACAATGTATAATGATCAAGTTAGATAACTGGGATATCCATTACCGCAAATGTTTATCTTTTCTTTGTATTTTAAGAACATTACAATTTTTCTAGCTATTTTGAACTACACAACAATTGTTACCTATAATTTCTCTACTGTGCTAGAATACTAGAACTAATTCCTTCTGTCCATTTTTGTATACTTAACCAACTTTGATAATCCTTATACTTACCATTTCATATACATTTCAAGCATCAAAGACATTACAATAGCCAGCACACTACCTAATATATGTATTTCATCTCAGTTCATCACTGGTGAAAGGTTTAAAATTTTTTTTTTGAGACAGGGTCTTTGCTCTCTTGCCCAGGCTGGAGTGCAGTGACACAATCATAGCTCATAGCTTACTGCAGCCTCGAACTCCTGGTCTTAAGTGATCTTTCTACCTCAGCCTTTCTAGAAGGCTACAGGTACATGCAACACCAAGCTGACTTTAAAAATTTTTATAGAGACAGGGGTCTTACTGAGTTGTCCAGGCTGACCTCAAACTCCTGACCTCAAGTGATCCTTTTGCCTGGGCCCAAAGTGTTTGCATTATAGGCATGAGGCCCTCTGCCCAGCTCAAGAGCAAGTGCTTTAATGTTATCTATTATAATCTTAATAACAACGTAATGAGGTTGCTATTGTACCTCCCATTTCACAGGCAGAAAATTAAGTTGCCCAAGGTTACACAGATGGTGAGCCCTAAAGTTGCAGTTCACACCCAGGTGCATCTGATCTTAATGCCCACATTTTTAACATTTGCATTGCGCAGGAAGGGAAAGATAGGACAACATGGTAGCATTAGTGAAAAAGAGTGCTTGCAAGTTCAATGTGAGTCATGGTATGATGCCACTGCCAACAAGGTAAAAACCACCTGAGGCTGTGTTCTGGAATACAGTATTCAGAGGGAGGGAAGCAACAGTCCCGTGAGAGTCTCTAGGGGTGGAGCACACCTGGAGCATCTTGTGCAAGTCTGAGCCTCACACTGGAAAAAGAGGATTACTCACACACCTGACACTCACTGTGATGTGAGTACTCAGCATGGTAAGCTGAGTCTATAGGAGGAACTATTAAAAAGCTGAGACTATTTAGGCTCCACAAAGAGAAGGCTGAGGGAGGCTGAGTAGCTGTATTTGAAATGTCATCAAATGGTGGAACATTAGATACAGTTGGTGTAGTTCCAGAAGGAAACTAGGCTGTACATGTAGAAAAATCAGAGGTAGATTAGGCTCCACATAGATAGGAAGTGCTGGTTTTTTAGAAATGAAATGGACTTCTTTGTAAGACAGTGAATTCTTTTTCACTAATGAAGAAACTGAATGATCACCAATTATGAGCATTAAAGACTTAGGTTTATCAGGTGTGGTGGTTCTTAACGCTTAGTGGGTATTAGAATCACCTGGGGGAACTTGGTAACTACTGATTGCCAGCCTTTACCTTGAGAAGAGTTGCTTCAGCAGATCTGAAATAAGGTCCAAGAATCTGAATTTGAAAATTAAAAAAAAAATTTTTTTATTGAGACAGAGTCTTACTCTGTCACCCAGTCTGGAGTGCAGTGGTGTGATCTCAGCTCACTGCAACCCCTGCCTCCTGGGTTCAAGCAATTCTCCTGCCTCAGCCTCCTGAGTAGCTGGGATTACAGGCACCCATGACTATGCCTGGCTAATTTTTGTATTTTTGATAGAGATGGGGTTTCGCCATGTTGGCCAGAATGGTCTCAAACTCCTGGCCTCAGGTGATCCGCTCATGTCGGCTTCCCAAAGTGCTGGGATTACAGGCATGAGCCACCATGCCCAGCCAAGAATCTGAATTTTTAACAAGCAATATGATGAATCCAGATCACGTGGTCACAGATCCACCCTTTGAGAACTGGTGAGGTTAGATAAACTCAGATCTCTTCCACTTATCCTACAAATAAACGCTTTAGTAAAAAATGTGTTGTTAATATAACGACTGCTCAAAGTGGTCCTCACAAGTTTTGTAAGAAATCATAGGCAGAATTCTTTAATATGTTAACAGCTAAGTTAGAGATGATATTATTGGAATGTATGATATAAGGATACGGAAGAAGAATGCTTGATTCTCACTCTGTGTTATAAAAGACAAGATTATAACAGCAAAATAGAAAATATAGATCCAGTTGAAATTTTTAAACACTTTAAACAGAGAACCAACTCCACTTATGCCAAGGAGCAATCAGATGGAGACCAGATTGGTATATGAAAAAGCTACATGATTATCTCAATAGGCAGCACCGGTGCAAGGTGAAACACCCATCAGCCTTTAGGGCTCAGGCTTATATAAACTTCAGCCTCAAACTCATAAACAGGTGTGGGTGAGGGTTGGAAACAAAGGGGATCCTGCAGTTGGTCTTCTCTCACTTTTCTCGAGGGCGAAAGAGCTTTTGTTGGCAAGTAATGTGTTTGTTTATTCTTAAAGCATGCAACTTATGAACCACATTTTGGAATTACTCTCTCTTGAAATATTTTGCTCTTTGTTAATATATCTTTAAAAAGTGATGCTTAAGGTAATTACTGTCCCATATCCGGATATTTTTAAGTTGCACAGTGATGTTTCATTTATTACTAAGTGCCTTACAATTTTGAAAAAACTTTTCTTTGAAAACCTTTAAAAATGGGCTGTTTGAGGAATTGCCGTTCTTGGCTGTTATGTTGATTTATAGTGTTCGTGTACTTATCTAGTTTACTCAAGACTTCTTTCTAGCAAATTATCTCTGTTTTAAGGCATGTAAAATTTCTAAATGGCGATTAAATATTGAGAATGAGTTAAACATTTGTTTCTATTTCTTCTTGCTCCCTTTAAATGATTTCAGACTTTCTTATCTATTTTTCTTGAATCATGAGGGATGAAATTGCAACAACAGTTTTCTTTGTCACAAGATTGGTGAAAAAACATGATAAACTAAGTAAAAAGCAAATAGAAGACTTTGCAGAAAAGCTGATGACGATCTTGTTTGAAACATACAGAAGTCACTGGCACTCTGATTGCCCTTCTAAAGGGCAAGCCTTCAGGTGAGAGCTAGCACATGGGACAGCAAAGGGAAATAATCACCAAGCAACAGCCAACTCCTGGGAAAATGGTGTGATCTTGTTTTCTGTATATAATAATGAAAATTTTATAGGCTCGACTTCACATTTGTTTGAATGTGGACTTGAAAGGAGGAGACGTAGTAGATGACAGTGTGAATGGAAACAACAGAATAAACTGCCTTATGTGAGGTAGATTAAGCAATTTCTAGTTGGTGTTTGCCATGAAAGATAAGCTGTGAATATCAGGTAAACTAATTTTGTGACTTGGTGATGCAACATACATTCTGAGCCACTGTATCAAAAGTTGATGATGTCTTACTTGTAAGAGTGGAGGGTGGGGGAGGCTGAGGGGAGGGTGGGGGTGAGGTTGGAGTTATGTGTATTGGAACAGTGTGTGCACAATGTAATTTTCCGGCTAAAGTATCTGTATCACGTCTTCATCTCCTTTCACTTACTATTTTTTTAAAGGTGCATCAGGATAAACAACAATCAGAATAAAGATCCTATTCTAGAAAGGGCGTGTGCGGAGAGTAAGGTGGATTTTTTTCACCTGGGACTTCCAAAGGAGCTGACCATATGGGTAGATCCCTTTGAAGTGTGCTGTAGGTGAGTAATCTCACAGTTTGTGTGCTGTGTGATTCCTGGAAACCTTAGGTTAGACAACTTCATATACCTTCATAAAGGATGATGCCCCAAAGCCTTGAGTTAGCAGCAGGGACACTTCTTGGTTAAGATTTTAGATGCAAACTTCTGTTAGAAAATGCAGACTTTTATTCAAAGTGGGTGAAGTGGAAAGCAAAATGATTTTGCAAAATATTTGAAATCTGGCTTTAATCACTGCACCGTGTTACAAACTATAGATTGGTAACAGTATCTATTACAAACCATAGGTTGATAGCAGATAAGTATTATAGGCAATATCAGAAAGGAAGAAAAGTTATGTACTATGGGACAATTCAGTTCATTAACTGAATCAAAAGAAACTAGTCTGTTTTTTTCTGAACAATTAACCAAAATAGCTCTTTAGAATATCCTCATTTATAACAGTGTAGTAGGTGAAGATCATAATGTCCTTCAATTTTTTAAGGCAATTTCTTTTAAAATAAGTTAGCATATAGGTGGGTGTTGAATAATGAGAACACATGGACACAGGGAGGGGAGCATCATACACTGGGGTCTGTCAGGGGGAGGGAAATAGGGGAGGGACAATAGGCGGGTGGGGAGTTGGGGAGAGATAGCATGGGGGGAAATGCCAGATATAGGTGATGGGGAGGAAGGCAGCAAATCACACTGCCATGTGTGTACTTATGCAACAATCTTGCATGTCCTTCACATGTACCCCAAAACCTAAAATGCAATTAAAAAAAAAAACTTGTAGGAAGTTGAATCCCTAATCAGTACTTAAATTTCTTTTCCTGCTTAGGTATGGTGAGAAAAGCCATCCATTTACAGTTGCTTCTTTTAAAGGCAGATGGGAGGAATGGGAACTATATCAACAGATCAGTTATGCAGTTAGTAGAGCCTCATCAGATGATTCCTCTGGCACTTCCTGCGATGAAGAAAGTTGTAGCAAGGAACCTCACGCCATTCCTAAAGTCAGCAATTCAAAGAGTATTTATCAGGTCAAGTGTGTTCCAGTTCTTTTTATACTTTTTACTCTCTAATTCTAAAAAGAATGTACTTGTTATAAAAACAAAGAAGCAAACAAAACATGGAAAGAACAAAACTATAAAGATTTTAAAGCCCCAATCTTAGTATTTTGGCAAAACTTTTTCTATCTCCTTCACTGCACAGAGTATTCCTACACATGACTGAGCTTTTAGGATCTACCCTAATTTTTTATCGTCCTGTTTCTTCATACAGTATTTGAAGGCACACAGGTTTCCTTTTACTTAAATTCCTGCATAATCAAAGATTAGATTGGTGGGCTGGCTTGCCCTTCCTTCCCTTCCTTCTGTCTTTCCTTCTTTCTTTCGTTAATTGAAAATACCATGGCTTTTAAAGAAAATTTGGACTTAGGAAAGGTCAAATGGCTGTACTGCCATTAGAGCAGGTTTCTCAACTGTTTTCTTTTTAAACCACAACCCATTGAAAGATATGCATATTTATATTTAAAAAGTTTCATGAAACAGTGCTTATCTTTACTAGGAGCAATGTTCCCTCCCAACACTTCCAATTAAATTCATTTGATTTCAAGCATCTAAATTGATTTCATAACCCACAATTTGAAAAACACTGATCTACAGAGAATTTGTTAATATGATATGTATATACTTGTCTGTATATTCTCTTAATCACCTATATATTACATGTTAAGGCAATTAACATTTTAATATTCATTTGTCTCCCTTGTAACTTATTATCATTGGCAGACATTCTAGATTGTTTCCACATGGTTGTAACATTTTTTAAAAAGCTGGTAACTTGTAGAGTGATGCCTGAATTTTAGGTTATTTCTTGAGACTTAATTCTCGAGTACAGAACTACTGGGTCAATGAGTGTGAATATTTTACTGGTCTTTAATATATAGTCGAAACGCCATAGAGAAAATTGTATTTATTTGTAGTCTCACCAGCTCTATGTAAAAGGATCTTTCTCTAGAATTGGCTATTCTCATTTAAAAAACAGATAATTAGATTAACGTGATATGCATATATAATAAAGTGTTAGTGAAATTAAACAATTAAATTTCCATGTGCTCAAATGTTTTAGCACCTACTGTCTTACAAATTTTCCCTTCTTCACCCATTCGTTATTTGAAGTTCTAATGTATTATTATAGGTTCTTTATATGCCAGAACTATTTTAACTCCTTGTCTTATTTCTGGCAAATGTTTTGTCCCTGGTTTTTTAAACTGTGTCATTATAGTTTCTTGGAAACGGTGACTTTTAAGTAAAACGATGTATGACAAAGCCATTTTTTTCCTCAGTGTTATAACCAAACTATGTTATTCAAAGACCTGCTCTACGTCATTTCACTTAAAATTAGTATCCAAGAAATGTTGAATGAGGATTTATAGTATTTGCCCTTAATTCTATTTTTATGCTTAGAAAGGCTTCTTCCATTTGGGGATCAGATCTGTAATCAGCTATATTCTTTTACAGCAATGTCTTTTCAAAGTGTGATCTGTAAAAAAGTATATTAGTCATCTTAGGTGTTAAAAATGAAGATTTCTAGGCCGTGGCCCCAGAGATCATGAACATGCAGTTTTGGATTGGCTGGCAGGGGTGAGGTAGGGATGGAAGTCAACAATTCAAGAATAAACACAAACTTGGATAAGCGTATTAAAACGTTTTTAGTTAAATTAATTAACTTTTTAAAAAGGTACAGTATAAAGTGACTTATGTCCCCACTAAGTGCTAGAGAATTTTTCAAAGATGGTTATGTGCTTTACTCTCTTTACTTTTGCTCCCTGTGCTTTTGAAGGGCCTGACTTTTGAATTATGGGTTCATATTTAGTCCTTACAGCTAGCTTGTTAGAGATCTTTATACCTTTTTTTTTTTTTTCCAGGTTGAAAACTTGAAACAGCCCTTTCAGTCTTGGTTCCAAATCCCTCGCAAAAAGAATGTGGTGGACAGCCGTGTTGGCCTCCTGGGAAACACTTACCACGGCTCGCAGAAGTACCCTAAGTGTTACAGGCCTGCTATGCACCGGGTGGACAGGTACCACTGGGTCAACACACGCCGATGACGCAGCGACTGGGCACGTAGTGGGCGAGGGCTCCAAGGAGCACTTTTATTCTCTCTAAAATAAAAATGAGTTTAAGGTTGAGAGGCCCATGAAACAAAAAATGACCATTTTAGGGACAAGGGTGCACAATGGTAAATCCTCTCATACAGATCATGACTCTGTTCTTAGCTGTACTTTTAATTCTTATTTAATTTTAAATGAAGTTTTATGTAATATTCGTGAATGTACCCAGTAAGGTAATGGAATGAAGATATTGACCTGTAATAAGCCTTGATGAATTATGAAAAGTAATGGTTTAAATAAATGTCCTGTGTTTTTAATACTTCTTAGTTCAGTTTGTTGCAAGAAACAAACTTTTAAAAGTTTTTTATTTTTTTGCAAAGAAGGGATCTCTCTCTGTTGCCCAGGCTGGTCTCAAACTGTTGAGCTCAAGCAATCCTCCTGTCTTGGCCTCCCAAAGTGTTGGGATTACAGACGTGAGCCATGTCGCCCAGCTACCATTCATTCTTACTCCCCTCACCCTGAACCGCTTGATAGAGGGAAAGTTGATGACTCTGCAGTCCAGGTCTCTACAATTTGATAGCAGTGAGAATTCTTTTGGCTGCTACTTTTCAATGTTTATGGTATAAAGAAATGCCCCTTAGGCTGCTGCCGGTGAATTTTATCTTTGCTAGATTTTATAGATTTTAAAATTAGGGAGGGAGATTCTACAATCCAGGTTCACTTTACTCACCCAAAATAGTCTGTCTCTTCTAAATTCTGTGTCTCTAGTTGTTAGAAAATTCCCGAAAACCTGTTGAGTGGATCCATTCCTACTCACGCTGTGTGTTCTCAGCTGGGCCCTTGCTGTTGTTCGGAGTTCCTATTAATCTCCACTTAAGCCATATTGTAGCTGTCTTCTCAATCTGTTTTACTCCATCCTCCCATGCTCTCAGCAGGAGACTTGTTCTTTTTGTTTTCTCCTACTTCAAAACTTTATCCTTATCTTCTCCTCTCTCATCTCCATTTTAAAGCTTTTCTCTTCTCCAGCCACTTGTATCTTCTCTCTACATCTGGGTTTTCTTGCTGAGTTTCCACTGTTAGGTGGTGCTGGATCCAGGAAGCTGGTAGCATTGGAGAAGTCACCGCTCGGTTCTCTTGTGAGTAGACTTGTGCTTTGGGCCAATGGCTCTGAGTGGATACAAAAAGCTGTGACCTTGAGTCCCAACTTGGGTAGGACCTGCCAGCAGTCATGCCAGTGCTGACGGAGCGGGGCTTGATGCTAGCCTCATTACTTTGGGTGAACCTCTTTTTTTTTTTTCTACAAATGATGGGTTCATTAAGGCACATAGCAGCATTTTTCGGGGGGAAAAACTCACCTAACCTTAATGGCTTATAAGGTCAAGTTTCTTTGTGCTGAAAAGTCAGTTTGTCCTCTTTCGAAGAGCTTTCTGTTACAGTGTGGCAGTTGTAGTGAATCTTCCCAGATTTCTCTAAAGCCAACCACAATACTAGTTTATTGACCCCTCAGCAAAGCATCTCCTGGAGGTGGTTGTAATGTTTGCCAGCCTCCATATGTGTGTGGGTGAGTTCTGGTCTCCAGAAAATGGGGCAAAATCAAGACTACCAGCAATGGGTGTATGTATTAGGCTTTAGATGCTGGCATACATGTGAATGTAGTTTAGTTTAATCCTTAACCATCAAGTTAGAATTTCTGGTAACATTTCATTTTCTCTGCCTCCCTACCTTCTACCCTTGTGCAGACAATTGTCATTAGTTACCTGATTATTGCAACAGTCTACTAACAACAATAATTGTTTCTGGCCTTGTTCCTCATCCTAAAATAATCTTTGCTCTCCAGTTTCAAACGTTTCAATCAGGAAAATGTTCAAATTCTGGAATACGGTTTCTGTTCTCAATGACTTGAGTTCCTGCATATCTTTTCAGCCTAACCTCAGCTCTCCTTTCAGACTCTGGGTTTTTTTTTTTTTTTTTTTTTTTCTCCTTTGAGACAGAGTCTCACTTTGTTGCCCAGGCTGGAGTGCAGTAGCGAGATCTTGGCTCACTGCAAGCTTGCTTCCTGGGTTCAAGCGATTCTCATGCCTCAGCCTCCAGAGTAGCTGGACTACAGACCTGTGCCACCACGCCCAGGTCATTTTTGCATTTTCAGTAGAGACAGTGTCTCACCACGTTGGCCAGGCTGGTCTCGAGCTCCTGGCCTCAAGTGATCTGCCCATCTTGGCCTCCCAAAATACTGGGATTACTTGGGACTCTGGTATTTAAGTGTTCTTTATTAGGAGACTTCTCATCTTGGAATCTGAGGTTCCCTAGCCAGTCTGCCTTCTTCTCTACACCTTTCAAAGTCTTCTCATCTTTCTTTTATGTGTACTGCCCAGGGATTTTAGTTGCTCTTAGTGGGAGGAGTAGAGAAAAAACACCTATTCCATCTGACTCAAAGATAAAATTCTATGTATTACTTTTGAAATAATGCATCTTAAGACAATGGAATATATTTTTGGAAAAGGGTTTTTTTGATAATAGTTGGTAAATATGGCTTCTACATTTATTGCAATTTTTTAATCTGTTTTCTAGTCAGTGGGCTGTATGTGTATGTATACAAGCTCTTTCCTTAAAGAAAACTAGAATGTCAATTTAAAAAAAAACTTGCTATTGATTTGATTCAGCAATAAAAATGCATAATGCAGCAGTAAGGAGAACATGATCCCTGTCTTGTAATCTGTGGCATTTCCATTAAGAAGCATGTGCTTACTAAAAGCCTGCAGCTGTTAGTGTATTAATGGAAATAAGATGGAGGGCCCAAGAAGTCAGCCAGGAAATTAATAGGATCATGTCCTGGTAGGTGCCTTGATCAGCCAAGAATGAGGAATATAGAAAAAACGTCTTTAATTTCTGTACTACTTTTTCTTTGCCGCATCTCCCAGAGGCCCTGGACTCTTGGCTTAACTATCCTAAATAGTCTTGTGTGGCTGGCTTAATTAATCTTCACTCTGCTTTCTGGGAAATACATTTCATAATTTATGTGGGTAGCTAAATAAAGTTCTTGAAGACACATACCCAATATTAATCAAGCTAAGACTTGCCTTCTTCTCAAAGTACTAGAGAGTCTTTAATTTTATAAAGTTATGCATTGGTTTAGGGGTGTGCTCTGTTTAAGAATTCCCTGTTAATGGGACAGAAGGGAGGACAGCTACCTCATGCCCACTCTTATGGGCAACTACCATTTTACCATTTTATTAGTATCTGTGCCATGAAAGCACGATTTCAATCAAAATGATAACTAATGAGGTATTTTTAAGGCTGTCAAATTTGGTACTTACTTAACTCGATGACTAATCTAACTATTTAAGCTGAATTAAGATGACTAAGTAGCCAATCCTAACAACAAAGAACTCAAAATAGAGGAGTTAGATGTAGTGAGCTGATTATGAGCAGATGTTCCTGATGGCTTGATGTAAAAATCCTTGTTGCACTTAATTTTAAATCTTCTTTTCATGTTATTTCAGTGTTTTTATTTTATTTTCTTGAAAGTAATTTATCATTCATATTTTTATCAGTTGGATTGACAGCTTAAACCCTCAGCAATGTATGGACATCTCTTAATTATGGCAAAAGACCTACAGAGCTAAAAATGTTGAATACCAGATAGACACTGAATTCATAAATTAGTTATCATTCATTATCTACCCAAATATATTTTTAAAAAGAAAGCTTTAATTCTTCAGTAGTCTATCTTTCTTGCATTGCTTAGGAGACTTACTAACAAATGTTCGTGTGTGTGTGTGTGTGTGTGTGTGTGTGTGTGTCTCACGAGATCTGATGGTTTTATAAATGGGAGTTCCCCTGCACAAGCTCTCTTGCCTGCTGACATGTAAGATGTGACTTTGCACCTTATTCACCTTCAGCCATGGTTGTGAGGTCTCCCCAGCCATGTGAGACTGTGAGTCAATTAAACCTCTTTCCTTTGTAAATTACCCAGTCTCAAGCATGTCTTTATTAGCAGCATGAGAACAGATGAATACAGAGCACAATAAAGAGAATTAGCCATGTGACAAGCAGTTTGAATTTCAAGCATTGGCTTTGTAATCTGAGTAGGCTTTTGAGTTGAAGTTTGTATACGAGTTTTTATTTTTTTATTTTTTTATTTTTTTTTACTTAAATTAATGTGATGGTGCTATGTCTCCTGATCAACACTCCAAAACTTCACTTTCAGATAACTACTTATCTCTTTGTGGTGTTTCAACCAGGGTCTCCAAAGTGAATTTTGTGTGACATGGCCTATATTTTAAGTACATATTCTAGATCACCGACTACTATACACATATATCCATCTGCTTTGTGATTCAGTAATAATCTTAGCCTGGTTAAATGATGGCATATACGAATTTTACATTTCTAGAGTTTTAGTCAATATCGTTAATAGATATTTTAATAATATATGTGATCTAAAGTTTTAGTCGCACTAAAAATTTTGGTCATAGTGAGCAGGAGTCCTCAACTTCTGTGGCAAATACTAGCCTCTATTATATAGACACTGAAAACTATAATATACATTTATGTGATTTACCATGAATATTATAGATTTTTCAATAATTCTTATCAGCTTCATCAGATGTTGTACTTATGTATTTAATACCTTTTGATCACACAGACTGAAATGAGATTAACATTTTCTTTCTAGATCAAAAAATAAAATGGAAAAAGATAATTGTTATCATTTTTATAAAAAGTCCACAAAATGGGGGATATAACTGCAGAATAAATAATTCCTACAAATCAAGAATGGAATAGGTACAGTCTAATGGAAAATGGCCAAAAGACTGGAATAGGTACTTTATAAGAGAAGATATCTAAATGGTATAACAGCATGAAAGATGCTCAGTTTCCTTGGTTGTCAGGGAAATTTAAAACTACACTGAGAATACCACACACCAGAAAAAATAGTAAAAAAAAAAAGATTTAAGATGCTTAACTGCTGATAGAAATGGAAAGCAACTAGAACCCTCCACTGCTGGCAGCAGTAAATAGTTCGAAACTCTAGCTGGTAGTATCTACTAACACTGAACATATCCATGTTCTAAGACCCAGGATTTTTAGTTCTAAGTATGTACTTGGCAAAATATAGTTACATATCATCACCAGAAAGTGTGCAAGGCTGTTTTGTAATAATCCCAAACTGGGAAATACCCATATATGCATCAGCAATTGAATGAGTAAGTAGTAATGTATCCACACAATGGAATAGTTTGCAGCAAAGAGAATCAACAAACTACAACTGCATGCCACAATGTGGATGACTCTCAGAAAGTGGAGCAAAATAAGCAATAAAGTAACTCATATCTTATGGTTCCATTTATATGAAATTCATGAATAAGCAAAAACGATGATGTTTGAAGTCAGGATGATGGTTACTCTATCTTGAAAGAAGTGACTAGAAGGAGGCATCAGGTGCTTCTGGAGAACCAGTCATATTTTATGTCTTGATCTGGGGCTAGTTATTTGAGAGTATTCATATTGGCCAATTCATTGATGTATAAATTTATTATCTGTTCACTTTTAAAGCTGTTATTTTAATAAAGGTTTAGAAGTTTTTATCCCATACATTGGCAATAACTTTAAAGTGGATTGGGCCCCAGGAGGGGTCAGTGCCTGGTTATTTCTCTAGGTTGCTAGTTTCTGATCTTGATCTTGACATGTTGGGTCCCCACTGCACACGAGGAAGGTGAAGACTTTGGGATTCTCTGTTTGCTAATATTATCCATTGACCTTACAAAATATTAGTGATGATTTGGAACCAAAACATTTGATTATTGAAGATACAACATATTAAATGCTTAGGATTAAAAACAAACTTTCATAAAACAGTGGTTGGTATCATTGTGGTATAGTGGAAGAAACCCTGAATGAGAAGACAGTGGACCCATGTTCTAGCTACTTTTTGTTCTTCTCCAGCTTGATGAATGGGGGCAAGTCTGATTCTCAGTTCCTTCTCTCTAGGATTAATATGTTACCCGCCTGAAGGGAAAGGGATGAACTCTTTTCTCTCTTGGGTCTTTTCTGAAATCTGAGATCTACCCTCTCAGTTGGTATTGAGGAAGCTCTTAAAGGAAGTGATGTCACGTATTCATACCATCACGAATTTAAAACTTTTTGTTCTGTGGACATGTTCAGTTATAAATATGGCCCAAACAAAATAATAAATAGTTGTCACATAGCTAATTCTCATCTTAATGCTGTTGACCATAAGGAGATCTCACCTTATCTTCACTCCCAAATTGATTTCTTGGTTTTCTTAGGATTTGTTGTTCTGCTGCAAGTATGCTTTTTAGGAAATGTTCCATATTGGTGAAGAGCAGAAGATCTTTGTTTTTCTTAATATACTGTAGAGGATGTGGAGGAGTTAATACTCTTGTTACCATTTATTTTAAGTACCCTTGGATCTTCTTAGCCACAATGTGGACCTGAGAGTACGATGTACAATTTTTCTTTTAAAATAAAGTGAGATCTCTTCATAGATGGTGTTTGGTGGAGGACTAACATTCCTGCTCCACAACTATTGCTATATCTTAGGCAAGTTTTTTTTTTAAACACTTCTAGGCCTCAGTTTCCTCATCTATAAATTAGAAATAAGAGTGACTTTCACCTTATAAGAGCATGAGAAGATTAAATGAGAAGATTAAATGCATGTAAAACTCTCAATCATAACATGGCATGTGGCACATGGCAAGCATGTAATGTTTGCTATTATCTTATAGTTAGCTCAGATAGATTGTGACTTCAGTATGTTGCATCAAGGTCCATATAAATCTATTCATTAATACAGTAAATACATCTCAAGGCTACTGTGAACCTGGCACATGGCCTACATCAGGAAATGGAAACAACACCTCTGCCCTCATGGACCTTACATTCTAGCTTAGGGAGGAAAGTAATAACAAGCACAAGTAACTTACATAGTGTGTTGGGAAGGAATATAGGAAAAATAAGAGTAGAGTAAAATAAACCTGCCAAGCAGGGGAAAAAGAGTTGCAAATTAAGATTGGATAGTCAGGGTAGGCCTTATTGTGAATGTGAACAAAGATAAAAAGGAGGTGAGGGAGTTGGGGATAGACCAGGGTTGGCATGAGTAACTCTTTGCTCTGGGAGCTGTCCCGTGCATTGCAAGCTGTTTAGCAGCATCCCTGGCCTCTACCCACTAGCTGTCAGTGGCAACCCCCTTCCCTGAGTCATGACAATCAAAAACATCTCCAGGTATTGCCAAATATCCCATAGGGGCCAAAAATTGCTCCTTGCAGAAAAGCAGTGCCCTAGGAAAAAGAGTATTTCTGGCACAGGGAACTCTTAAGAGAGGAGTGTCCCCAGTGTGCTTGAGCAGTGAGAAGCAAAGTGTGGTTGGAGTTGAGTTAATAGTTAAAATGCTGAAATATTTTTTTAAAAAAGTGCTTTATTGTATTTTTTGAGATAGGATCTCACTGTGCTGCCCAGGCTAGAGTACAGTAGTGTATCATAGCTCACTTCAGCCTCAGCTTCAAACTCCTGGGGTGAAGGGATCCTTCTGCCTCAGCTTCCTGAGTAGCTGGGACTACAGGCATGTGCCACTATGCCCAGCTAATTTATTTTTATTTTGTAGAGATGGGGTGTCATTGTGTTGCCCAGGCTGTTCTTGAACTCCTGGGCTCAAGTGATCTTTCCGTCTCAGCCTCCCAAAGTGCAGGGATTACAGGTGTGAGCCACTGTGCCTGGAAAAAGTGCTTTGACAAGATATTAAGAAGATCATTATCAGCCTGGCACTGTGGCTCACACCTGTAATCCCAGCACTTTGGGAGGTTGAGGTGGGTGGATCACAAGGTCAGGAGTTTAAGACCAGCCTGGCCAAGATAGTGAAACCCTATCTCTACTGAAAACACAAAAATTAGCCAGGCCTGGTGGCGGGTGCCTATAATCCCAGCTACTTGGGAGGCTGAGGCAGGATAATTGCTTGAACCTGGGAGGTGGATGTTGCAGTGAGCTGAGATTGTGCCACTGCACTCCAGTTTGGGCAACAGAGAGAGATGCTATCTCAAAAAAAGAAAAAATCATCATCAGGCTTGCACAGAAGACAGCACACTGTAAGTTTAGGAAAACATGCTGCCACTTGCGCATCTAAACTTGGAATGAGTTTTACAGATGGAATTCTGCTTAATTATTGATACCATGTTAATGACACACTAAGTTAACCCACATTTGTATTCCTTGTGACTCAGTCAGGTAACTACTGTCTGACCTGTAGAATAAGATTTAAAAAATACTGTCATGAGGCCAGGTGCCATGGTTCATGCCTGTAATCCCAGCACTTTGGGATTGCTGAGGTAGGTGGACTGCTTGAGCCTGAGTTTGAGACTACCCTGGGCAACCTAACGAACCCCTGTCCCTACAAAAAAAATATAAGCATTTGCCAGGTATGGTGGCATGCACCTGTTTGGAAGGCTGAGGTGGGAGGATCACTTAAGCCCGGCAGGTCAAGGCTGCAGTGAGTTGTAATGTCACCACTGTACTCCAGCCTGGGCAGCAGAGCGAGACCTTGTCTCAAAAACAAAAAATACTGTCATATGTGACTTGAGAAACAGGCTGAATGTCAAGGCGGTGTACCATGTGGGAGGTCAGAAATATCAGAATACACTGAGGCATTTACTCTGTGAAGCAGTGCATGTTAGTCAAGGCCATGTGATTGATGTCATAAAGTTAGTTACCTCTTCTAATGATTCTGGCTCCAAGGGAGATGCATGCTTCATTTCGATTAGTTTAGACAGAAGATCTCTTTCCCTTTCAGAGATGGGCTGCTCTTCCAGCAGAATAGTGCTTATGCTTTGTTCAAATTTATTGTCCCTGGAAACTGCTGACATTCTCAGTGTGTTAGAGAATGCTTCCCTGAAATAGGCCTTCAGGCCCTTGGTCAAGGGAAGAGAAGGTGTGGGGGACAGATCAGTAGGACTTCTAGACAATTGCTATTAAAGCTTTAAAATAATACATGAAAGAAAAATGGGGCTTGAGATTTCTCATCTTCACTTGCCCTCTCCGTGGGTTATCATTGTCTTTAGCAGTTTTGGTGCAGTTTATGTGTGGACAGTTAAACAGCCACAGAAAGCTGAGTTGCTGTGCTTGTAGGAAAACCACTTCTGTGAAGCAGTGGTACGTGCATTTTGTCATATGCTGCCATGGGAAATCTGATTAGGAAAATCCTCTTCCTGGCCAGGCAGGAGGAACCAAAGGCCACAGTGGAACTCAAGTAGATTTGAAATGTTGCAAAGCCTAAAGCATTTATTGTCCTGGGGAACAGGGTCTGAGTCACAGAGAAAGAGAAGCAAAATGCACTGTATATGTTATAAATACCTTGTAAAATGACCCCAGAAAGGCAGGGTTGGAGTCCTGGTGGGGTTCCCCAGCAGTGATGTGGGCCAGGCAGCGGATCAGCAGCAGAACAAAGCTTCCCACAGAGGCCAGGCACTCTCTCCCAACGAACAATATGTTCTCAGCACTCTGAGAGGAGAAAACACCCAAGCACAGAGATGTCTGCCTCTGGGAACATTTCCACTACCCCTTTCTTTCTCAAGGTTTATGGCACATGGTCTAAAACAAGACTCTCTGAGTGTAATGGAAATTTACTGAAGGAAAGATTCGGATGACCAGGGAAAAATTGGGTTCAACTCTAAGTCATTTGCTCCACTGTCTCCCAATTTTTCCTACTGCCTCCATCTTACAGAAAACAAACTTAGAAATTCAGAGTTTCTTATGTATCTCTTTATCCATATCCTCCAATCACTGTTCCTTAAGCAGTGGTTCTCAAACTTTTGTGTAATGAGAATCACAAGGGGCTGATTCTGTTTTTGAGACCCATCCCCAAAATTCTGGTTCTGTGGATTCTATGCACTTCCATTTTTCCCAGGCTCCCCAGGTGGTTGGTACAGGAGGTCTAAGGACCGCAGTGTGACAATCAATGCCTTAGAGAGCTCTCAGGCTTTCTTCACTTCCATGCCTTTACTGTAATCAAGTTTTCAAGTCACCTCTCTTGCCTATTGATTTAAAATAACTCCCTTTTTCATTCTCTTATGGGAAGGTAGATTGGCATGAAAAACTTTAGGTAGTTTGGAATCAGACAGTCTGAGATCTAGCCTTTGACTCAGCTGTGAGTGGCAGCATAGACTCTTGGTTATAAGAATGAGTTTTTGGTGTCAAATATGCCTGGGCTCGAGTCTTAACTCTTGCTAACTCTGTGAATTTGGGGAAGTGACTTAGCCTCTCTGGGCCTCAATTTCCTAATTCCTAAAACAAAGATAACAAAAGTACCTCATAGTGTGGTGAATTATAAGTAAGACCATGCCTATAAAGCACCTGGCCGGGGTCCTGGCACACGGCACTTGTACCACAACCTGAGTTTGTTTACCCATCTGTGACATAGGATTAAATTCTTGTCTATTTTATAGAGTTGTTTTGAGGATCAAGTGAAATAATGTGTGGAGAGTACCGTATGTGAGTAGTTTCTGGTTTTATTAAATCCCCTGACAACCTACTAGTCAAGTGTAAATCTTTTTCTAATCCTACAGCATCGATGAGCAGTTTCTCCTCTCAGAATTGTTTGGCAATAGACTGTGATTAGTGTTACCAGGTCTATATACGCCTGCTTAGAGCTGCCAGCAAGGCACTTCCAATCTACATATCTGAAGAACTGCCAGGACAGGAACAATTTAGATCCTTTTCTGTAGAAAGATGCTGATTGTGCAGGATTTCCTCAAGCTGCAACCACAACTCTTACAGGAAATACCAGCCTGGAACCCCTGGCTTTGATAATGACAGAGATTTACTAATGGGCACCCAACTATTATGCTTCTCTGGGCACAAGCCAGAACATATTCATTTTACTGATTAGGGAAAGCTCTTACACTGTGACATTTATTATGCCTTAGCTAAATGACTTATTTCCAGGAGGGAATAAAATATGTCAGGATTTTAGGAAAAAATGATGAAATTTGTTCTTTTTGCTTTTGTTTATCTTTACTGGACTCCAGAGTTTTATAACCCACATGTGGGAATGAATTTTCAGCACCTGACAGAAGAAGCCATCTTGGAAGGCACTGCCTTGGGCTTCCATGGCAGGAAGATGAGAAGCAATCTTCAGGGTGATTTCTGGAGCCTGAAAAGAATAGAAAACAAAAAACAAAACTCATCATTTTGCTAAAAAATTCTCATGTATCTCAGCTACATAGCATCAACCAAACTGGTGAGAAGTAAATGCATTGTGGCATTAATTTAAATTGCAACAGGGTAAGTAGGTTCAGTATACAGGAAAACGGAAAGAGTATTTAACTGTACATTTAATATGTATGCTAAATATGACAATTTATTACTTTTCTAAATAGAGATTGACTAGACTAGAGGGCTCTTGAGCCATAATGCCTGGATTTTGACCTTGGCTCTGCCTTTTTGGCTGTGTGATCTTGGGGAAGTTTATTCGACCATGGTGTCTCTTCTGCTCAATTTTAAAATAGAAAAAATAGTATCTGTGTCATAAGGTTTTTGTGAGGATTATATGAATCAGTGTAAATTATTAGAATATTTTCTGGCATGTAGAAAGTGATTAATTCATTCTATCTGTGATTAATATCATTCAAGAGATTAGACTTTAGATTGGTAAAATAACTCCCATCAATCCCTTTAAAGGAGAGACTAGAAAGTTTGCTGTTCCAAATGCTTATTCCTAGGGACTATCTGCCATCTCAAAGGCTTCTTCCTGACTACCCTAGCCTTCCAGGCTCCATGAGTAATTGCTCCACAGAGAGGCAGAAACAAGACTTACATGAAGCTGGGGGATGAGGAGGTGCAGGATGGAGAGGCCGTACTGGTAAACCACAAACTCCCTGGCAGAAAGGCCAATGGGTTGCACAGTTATCAGCTCTTCCTTCTGCACTGTTTGAGGTTTTAGAAGATACTGTAAAGAGCTCTTTGGGTCTACAGAGATCAGGAAAAACCAGTAATAATTTTACTAATTTTTCTGTACAATAGTGATATGTTAACAATACAACCCAATTTAGGAAAAGGTTTTATTACAACCATCCATCCATCCATCCATCCATCCATCCATCCATCCATCCATCCATCACCCTCCTGTGGTATATATGCATCATGCTACAGGCTCTTCTGTCCATCTTTATGGAAAAAATGATAGAGTTTCAGTCATTAGGAACAGAGGGGCCAGGACAGAATGAGGGTCCAGAGAAGATGACAGCAGATTTTCTTCTTCTATTTCCTTGATTTGCTTGGAGTATTAAATGTAATGTACTCAGAATAGTGTCTGGTACATAGTAAGCATTCAGCAAATGTTAACTATATTTAAGAATCTAACTTCCTTACAATATTGTCTGTAATGGGCCTTGGGTATTTAACATTTCTACTGTATTTTTATTGTTCTTGAGAGAATAGTAAATAATGGATTGGTAGCAAGGTTTAGGGAAGACTGCTGAGGCAGCAGTCAGACCCGTGTCCTGGCCCAGGTTCTGCAAGACCCCAAGAAAGTCACTGAATTTCTTTGAGCATCAATTCTCATCTAATCAAAAGTAATTAATAGTCTTCTATCTTCTAGGCTAGAAGATGTAAACAAGACAATGTGTATAAAATTACTCTCAAAATTGTAAGGTCAGTATAATGGCAAGACGAAGAAAATTGAAGTGGGCATGGGAACCTTTAAAGGACAGCCCATCTCTCTGCCATTCCCTTCTTAGTTTCACCCAAAGGAAGGAAGAATTAATAATAAGATTGGTCAAGTTCTGGAGTTAGTAAACTTTTTTTCTGTAAAGGGCCGGATAGTAAATATTTTAGGCTTTGTTAGCCAAGAGCCAAAATTAGGGTTCAAAGTTAGTGTTCCCTAACCTCACAGTAGAAGCATGGCCTCATTCTCCTACAAAGCCTTCTCTTGCTTCTCTGATCCAGAAAAGCAAGTGATCTGCCCTCCTGGGAACTCACCAAAATGTGTTACCTGCATCTTGTTTTGGCACTGCCTTTATAGTGTTGAACAAGTTTTCACTTGAGGAAGCAAGTGCAGAGCGCAGGGTCTGGGGAAAGACTCTTTGGGATTGAACCCCAGCTAAACTACTCACTAGCAGTATGATCTTTGAATACTCACTTAACCTATCCAGGAGCTTCAGTTCCCTCATCTGTAAGATGAGTAATAGTCCCTACTTTACTGGGTTGCAGTAAAAAGTAAATGAGTTAATATATCTAAAGAGTTAGAATAGTATGTGGCATATTATAAAGCAATGCATAAAATTTTTATTCTTTTAACATTTTTTCTCTCGTTTTAAAATATAAAATCTTTCTTAGCTTGTGGGCCATGCAAAAATGGTTAGCAGGCTGGAGATGGCCTGTGGGCCATAGTCTGCACTTCCCTGCTCAAGTTCAGGGGTGCTCATGGCTCTGTGCTTACCTGGAGCCTGCACTGTGGTTTACTGACAGGCACACATTCATTTTCTGTTACTTCTCTTCCATTTGGGAAGGGTGTCAGTTGAAACAGACCTGGCTTTTCAGGTTAGGTAAGCCATGTTCTCTTTTGACTTCCAATTCCAAGGGGTGGCACTGATAAAGTGATTTGGGGTCCCTTTGGGGAGCAAGGTCTCCTCTTTGTTCATTTCCTCTGTTTTTGTCCCTTTTCATTTTCTCCCTTTCCTGCCTTATACCTTTGCATTATCCCCTTCTAACATGTGGCTGGCTGGTATGGGGTGAAGTCCCAAGATTTAGATTCAGTGTTTGGTGGGGAAGGCAGAGGTCTTTGGAAATTCCCTTTTGTAAATTGGCCCAGTTATAATTATAGGATTACTTTGATCGCTATTTGTTATTCCTTATATGGGAAAATCACTTGGGGAACTTAGAAAGAGATGTTTGGCAAGGCAGGATTCTAACATTCCTAGACCCCAGGGGTTACACCATCACATACCTTCAGTGCTCCCATGATAATTCCAAACAGGTCCTGCAAGGGAAAAGGAGGTTACCTCGTTTGTGATACACTTGTTTTTGCAGTTCAGTGTCTTCTTTGTGGGCTTGGGACCAGATGTCTGTTTTCTTCAGGATGGAGAAGAATGGTGAAGCCCAGATGATGTTAGCTTTATCTGTATCTGAACAGAGGGGAATACAATGGTTATTGGGGTGAGGGCCTAGGAATGTGGTCAAAGCCAAAAGAGGCCAGAGGTAGCATCAGGTATGACAGGCAGCCTCTAAGATGGCGCCAGCGACCCCCTAATGTGTATCCATGCCCTTGTGTAATTCCTTCCCCTTGCGTGTGGGTTGGATCTAATGGTTCAGACAAATGGATAGAACACGGCAAAAGTGATAGGTTGTCATTTCTGAGATTAAGAGTCACAAAGATGGTGGGGGTGGGTGTAGTGGCTCACACCTATAATCCCAGCACTTTGGGAGGCCAAGGCAGGCAGATCACTTGAGGTCAGGAGTTTGAGACCAGCCTGGCCAACAAAGTGAAACCCTGTCTCTACTAAAAATACAAAAAAATTAGCTGGGCTTGGTGGCATGCACCTGTAACCCCAGCTACTCGGGGGAGCTGAGACAGGAGAATTGCTTGAACCTGGGAGGCGGAGGTTGCAGTGAGCAGAGATTGCGCCACTGTACTCCAGCCTTGGTGACAGAGAGAGACTCTGTTTCAAAAAAAGACTTTGGCTTCTACTTTGCTTGCCCTCTCTCACTCTCTGGCCTGATTGCTCTGAGAGAAGCCAGCTGCCATGTTGTGAGCTGCCCACGAAGATCTTGTGGCAGGAGTTGTTGTCTCTGGCCAACAGCCAACAAGGACTTGAGTCTACCAATAGCCATAAGAGTGAGCTTGGAAGTGAATCTTCCATCCTCCAGCAGTCAAGCCTTGAGATGACTGCAGTTCTGGCCTACTTGTAGCTTGTGGAGATCCTGGGCCAGACGCATCCCGCTAAGCTGCATCCAGATCTTTAGCCCAAAGAAACTGTGAGAAAATAAATGTCATTTTAAGCCATCAGATTTTGGGGTCATTTCTTACATGGCAATCAATAACTAAGGTATTGGGTTCAGCAAATGTTTTTTCCTAAAGAACCTACTGGGGACACACCCCTATGGTGCTGGGAATTGTAAGTGTAGCTTTAGGACTTATCAAAACATGGCCAGGATTGGCAGCAGAAGGCAACGCTGAAATAGGGACCAGCCTAACCTGTTCCTGGCCTCTGATCCTCCAGCCCTTGAGCTCCGACTAGTGCTGTGGCGAGTTGCTTCAGAAAAGGGATCAACATGGGACAGGCAGCAGTCAGGTCCCTGACAGAAGCTGTGACTGTTCCATAGAATATGTGTCCAGGGTAATTCTCCAAACACACAGGGGTTCCTGAGGCAATCATCTAGGATGAAGTAGTCAGCACTGAGTTTTGTGCTTGGTCCCCACCTGTCCCACGTGGTTGCCTTGGGAGTCTCTGAGGCCCCCCGTCAAAGATGGAAATACAGATTCCTCTGTCAAATCCAGTCCAGGGATCAGTACCTGGGTGTGCAGGAACTGGAGGCGGCTCCATTCCTGTCGGTACTGTAGCTGACCCAGGGCCCTAGCCAGGAAGTTCTGTCTCTCTCTCACTACCCCCTGAAACTCATCAGAGAGACGATGAACCACCTGGAACCCAGAGAACGTAATGACCAAGTTAAGATGGGCCTTCTTTCCCTTTCTTCCTCCTCTCCTCGCAGCACTTCCATGGTTCCTTGAGCCCACCTACCCCTGAATATTACATTGCCCTGGAGAGCCACATCTGATGACATGGGAGGATGTGCTCATCATATGCGGGTCTCCTGTCAGCCTCAGAGCCTCACCTTCCTGGGGCGGTTCCAGACCTGTGGGCTCTGATTCCTGCTTTGCTGCAGACACATCTCCTCCTCCTGGCCCTGCAGCCGGCCAGCTGCTTTCCTGAGCTTTTCTACTGCCTGCCCTAAACTCTGCAGGACTTTCTGCACACCCAGCACCACCTGCACCTCCTGTTCCCACTCCTCTCTGTCTGCTGCAAATGGCAGAGAAAAGGGCCACATGACATCGACCACCACCAGAGGTAGGGAGGAGAGGAAAAGACAATAGATTATCGGAGTAAGGGGAACCTGCCAGGAGAGCCGAGCACATTCAGAGGGCAGGAGGGGCTCCCCACAGGGCAGCTGTCGGTGGTGACGCCAATCCCTGGAGATTTCTGTGGGGATCTGAGCCTAGGAGGTGCTTTCCCCCCTTGGGAGAGCAGACCCCACTCTGGGCTGCTGTGTGTGCTCAGAGCCCTGGCTCTTCTCTCTGTCTCCTGCAGGCAGTGGGACTCTAGGGCCTGGCAGGCCTCCTCGGCAGCCCTTAGCTATGTAGGACAGAAGGGACAAAGGAATGGGCCCTGGAGGGGAAGGCAGGAGGTTTGGGTGGCGCTCTTGGTGGCTCCTCCTCCCCTGTCTCTGTCCTGCTTAGATACTTGGGGGTGACTGAAATCTTGGGCCTGGGGCTGGGGAATCTTGGGACTGTGTCTTCTCTGAGATGGATTTCATTCCCATGGTTGGGGGAGAGAAGGACTCCAAACTTTCAAAGAGAAAACTGCCGTCTTGGCAGATGGGTGGGTGGGGACAGTGAGGTGGTGCCTCTGGGTCTCACCTGCTGCTCCACGCCATTGCCTGCAGTGAAGTGGAGCTCCTGGCTCAGGTGTCCCAGGTGATCCAGTAGCAGCTTCTCCTCCTGTTCCTGGTGGTGCCAGTACTGCTCCCGGGCCCTCAGCTCCTGCTCCAGGGTGTCCAGCTACAAAGTCCAGGCTGTTTAGGGCTTACTGGCCTTTTCTGCTCATGACCCCACATGGTCTGGCTATAGATCCTCAAAGCTTCACAAGATAATGGCCCTCCCCGACCTCGGGCATTTATGACTAAACTTGGTGAGGCTGTCAACTGGTTTTATCTTTATTTTTATGTTTTGAGATGGAGTTTCGCGCTGTTGCCCGGGCTGGAGGGCAATGGCGTGGTCTCGGCTTACTGCAACCTCTGCCTCCCAGGTTCAAGCAATTCTCCTGACTCAGCCTCCCAAGTAGCTGGGATTACAGGTGCCCACCACCACATCGGCTAATTATTTTGTATTTTTAGTAGAGACAGGGTTTCACCATGTTGGCCAGGCTGGTCTCCATCTCCTGATCTCAGGTGATCCTCCCACCTTGGTTTCCCAATGACTTGGTTTTAGCTAGAAAAATGACCGCACATTTTCTTCAAGCTTCCTGGTTCCTCCCTCCCTCCTGGTGACACCTGCTCTCTCCAGAGTCCCCTGTGCCTCCTGCCCCCACCCGTCTCTTGGGAAGTCCAGAGGAGACGGGCAGGTGGCAGCAGGAAATTGTTTTCACCCCCCTCAGTGAAGACACACTGACCTGTGAAACGGTGTCAGGGCTAGAATCGAAATTTCTTGGCTTGTAACAAGAACCTTTTATTTATTGCATACCTTTTACCACAGTTTCTGAAAGTTAACTAGACTGAGAGTGTATGGGGGGCCCTAAATCATTTTCATTTTGGTGGACATCTGCCAGCTGTTGAATTACTGCAATAACCTCCTGACGGGGCTTCCTGCGCTAGTCTGGCCCCACTCCCATCCATCCTCCGCACAGCTGCCAGGGAGAGCTTTCTAGAATGCTGACTGTACATACACATACATAAATATAAAAATAAATGGAGGAGGTGTGCCAACTTGTGAAGTGGCTGGGTTTGGTGGGAGAGACGGGGGGAGAGGCAAGGAGTGCCTGGATGGGATGCCATGGGGGTGTTGACTGTGGGTAGAGGGAGAGGAATGGGCAGGGAAGCTTTTGCTTCTTCATTGACATACTTAAAAAATGTCTGGGTAACTTATTTTTTGTATTGTTTCATATTTTTCCAATTTTAAAGTCTTACATTTATATTTGATTATATCCCATGTCGAGAACCCTACAGCAGCTCCCTGCGGCTTTCATGATGGAAGACACATTTCTCATACTTGCTGTCTTTGCATCTGCTTTCCCCAAGGCTGGAGCGACTTTCTCAGCTGTCTCTCTGCTGCCTGTGTTACTTCATTAGGGAAGCCTTGAGCTCTCCTCTGTTGAGATGCCCTCCCCTGAGCTCTCCTAACACCCTTGTGAACCACCACTGTGGTTGGGACCCACGGCCAGCCAGTTCCCTGGGAGCCCTATCTAGTCGTCCTTGTATCTCAATGCCTAACGCGTCGCCTGGAACACAGCTCTCAGTATGTAGTTGCTGAGTGAATAATGAATGAATAAATTAATTCAATACCTGCCCCCCTACATACCAGACCAGGGTCTCTCACTCCTCGAGGTAAGGACTCCAGCACCTGGACAATGGGCACCACCACTCTGGAAGAGGGATCTCTTTGAGCTCCAATGACGGGACCAGGCTCCCCAGTCAAGGGGTCTATGGCTTGAGCCCCGATTGAAATTGGGATAAGACCTGTGGAAGCCAAGCCCACCACTGGTTTAGAAACTAGAGCTGGGGAAGGAAGGAAGGGCAGTCATAGGAAGAAAGATGCATGGCAAAAAGGAAGCCAGAAGAGCCCTTGATCTCCTTTGACCCTTCAAGGGGCTCTGAGCTGGGTTATAGAGCTCCTGGTGGCCACAGCCTGGGGGTGGGTGGATGGTGAGTTTCTGAAGTGCTGGTCTTTGAAAAGACCCAATTTTCAAGAGGAGACATGCATGATTTATGGTCCTGGGGTTTTGGAATTTCTGGACACCTTTAATTTTGGGTCTCAGCAGCCCTAGCAGAAGATCAGAATGACCCCTTCTCTTGGCACCTGGGTACCCCCTCCTGAGCTTTACGGGGGGTGGGATTTCTTTTCCTGAGCTCTCAGAAGTCCCAAGTCCTCTTTTACCTTTGCCGTGGGCATCTTCCATTGAGCCTGCCAGGGGTGTGGCTTCACCCAAATTCTCATCATGCTCCATGCCCAGGATGGGCACCATGAGCCCCGAGCCCTCAGGATCTGGGATCTCCATTCCATACAGGGCTGGGACCCACAGCTCTGTCCCGGGATAGCGCATCATTCCTAGTACCGGGGGGAGGGGGAGTGAAGAGGAGGAGGTGAGGGTTTAGCATCACCCCTGAAGTCTTTCCAGGTTCAAAGTACTACATCTCTGACCAGAGGGGTTTCCCTGGAAACACTGCATTGGTTTCCTATGGGCCCAACTTAGCATTCTGAATTCAGAAAGGAAGAAAGGACAATGCCCCAGGGGCCTGCTTTGGAAGAAGCAAGTGGAAATTTAGTGGCATCAGACCTTTTGAGAAGCTGAGAACAACTTCTCAAAGAAGGGGGTCTTGTGTTCTTGAGCACCTGCCATTCATCAGAATCTGAACTCAGAACTCCACAGAAGTTGTATTTCACTCAGTCCTACAACTCAAGCTATAAAGTATGCACTTTTTTTTTTTTTTGAGATAGAGTCTCACTGTGTCTCCCAGACTGGAGTATAATGATGTGATCTCAGCTTGCTGCAACCTCCACCTCCCAGGTTCAAGTGATTCTCCTGCCTCAGCCTTCTAAATAGCTGGGATTACAAGCTCCTGCCACCATGCCTGGCTATTTTTTGTATTTATAGTAGATACAGAGTTTCACCATATTGATCAAGCTGGTCTCGAACTCCTGACCTTAAGCAATCCACCTGTCCACCTGCCTCAACCTCCCAAAGTGCTGTGATTACAGTCATGAGCCACCGCACCCAGCCAGGATGCACAATTTTACTCTTCCTTTTAAAAGATGGTAAAACAGTGGCAGGGAGGGGTTAGTATTAATAACTTGCCCAAGGTCAAAGAGTTAATAAATTGTGGGGCAGGTCTTCAAACTCAAGTCAATTCTGACCCTGGTTCTTTTCTTTTCTTTTTTTTTTTTTTGTGGGCAGAGAGTAATTTCTAGAAACAGTGAGATAAACTCCAGGAAGATGCCACTCCTACCTCTCCTTGCCTTTCCATGGGGGTGGGGGGTGGAGTCATGGGATGGGCTTCTTTTTTGCATTTATTTGTGGGAAGTGGAAGATTGCTGCAGAATGAGGTGGGAAGGGATTGAGGACTCAGGAGATTCAGGCTTTTGGCCAGGCTCTGCAGCGAATTAGCTAGAGGACCCCAGCTGGGCAACTCATTTAACGTTCTGACCATCAAGTTCCCGACTCTAAAATGGGTGTCATAGCACCTACGCGGTGGTGTTTCACGAGCCATAAAGTAATGGGAAATGTGCTCTCTATAACATAAACTCAGTGGCACTGGCAAGGAGTCAAGACAGGGATGCAGTCGAGCACTGATGGGGTTGGGGTGTGAGGTCATGGAGTTCCTTCTCTCTTCCCTTGATCATGCATGTGTATGGCCAGTGGGGCTGCAGCCCTGTCCCTGAGCTTACGGGCTGAGGAGCATTGAAGCACCAGGTCATTCTGGGCCTGAGGTTTCGGGGCCTGAGAGCCTCTGGCCCAGATTTGCCCATACCTATCCTGTCGCCACTGGCTTCAATGTCATCCACTGCTGCCAGCTGCCTCTCCAGCCTCCGAGCCTGCTGCAGGATGTGGTGCAGACTCAAGGCCAGTGCCTGTCTCATGTCCTTGATGGCAGCCTCCAGAGGCCCCTGCACCCCCGACTCTGGACTCTCCTGGCACTGCTGGAGCACTGCAATCACTTGTCTCTGGGCCACCAGCACATTGGTGTCCAGCAGGGCCTGTGACCCTCCCATATGGGGCAATGTCTGGCCCTCCCGTCGAGAAGCCCCCTGTAGCCGGACTGTCTTCCCACTCAGTGGCTCTACAAAGCTGTCACCAGGAAGCATGAGGTTCCCCAAAGCATCTCGCAGCCCTCCCAGTAAAAGCAGCTGACCTGGAAGCAAGAACCAAGAGGGCAAGGTGGGAAGGGACGCAGCAGGGATGCACGCAGGTGTGGCATAAGGGGAACTAGGGCACGAGGGTGGAGATGAACTGTGGGAGGGAGGGAGGTGGAAGGGAGGAAGAAAGGAGGGGGTGAGGGAGAGGGCAGGGGGCGGAGCATGGTGGTGACAGGTGGAGCAATGGTCCTTTTTGGTTGAAAAGCATCTATTAACTTTATAGGACTACCTTGCTTCTCTTCTCCTCCCTAGGGGTAGAGACGGGGAAGGGGAGAGAGAAGGTTAGGGGTAAGAGGCAGAGTGAGGAGGAAGGGTGGAAAGGGTGGGGGTGGGTGGAGTTTACAGCTGGGACCAGAACATGGAAGGTATAGGGGGCCGAGAGGAGGGGACTGGGAGGCTAGGCCAGGCATGGAGAAGGGTGTGGGAGGACAGCACTGAGGGCTGCCAGGAGACCTGTGTTTTCATCCAACCTGACTCCTAGGATGGGCGAGATGCCTCCTGTGACTGGGTCCTCCATGGGGCCCCCCATCTCCAGAGGGGCCAAGGTCTTGGTGAGAGGATTACAGTATGTTCCCCCAAGAGTGAGCCACTTTCTTGTTTGGGGGTGCAGAGTCACAGCCAGCATGGGCCCCTCGATGCCTGTGATGGGGTCTGTCATGAGAGCCCCCAACTGGGATGTCCTTTTTGGCTGCATGATGGGCAGATGCGTGGCTGGAGGGGAACCTGTGGCGGGACTGGTTGGGTAGGGCACATAGGGCAGGATGGCAGCTTCTGATGTTTGGACGCCACCTGGACAGGGATACAGGGAGCTGTTGGTACCTTTAACACACCAGCCTCCCTCCTTAGCCCTGCAGAGCAGGGGCAGAGGCACTTTGGCACCTGCCTCCTTTTACCAACCAGCTCTGTCCATTCATGGCACCCTCTGCATCCAGCAAGAATGTCAAGGTGAGGAGGGGAAGGAGTTATTTACTACTCTGCTGGTCACCAAGCCCCGCTGTCCAAAAAGGGAGCCCTGCTTCCTGTAGGGTCCTCCCTGGGAGATCACTCCAGAGAGTCCCAGCAAGCCCTGCCTCATCTCGGAAGCCCAGAGCTGAGTTGGGGATAATCAGTGGGCCAGGGGCTCACCCGCAATGGAGTCCATAGTGGGCACCAGGGTAGCTCTCAGCAGATCATATCCCAGGTGTCCAGCCTCGGGCAGCACCCGCCCAGTGTCGGGGTGAATGAAGTAGCCAGGGGGTATGGAGCCTGCGTGGCCACTGGCTGGAAGCATCAAGCAGTTGGGGCCAGGGACCATCAACTTGGTGATGGGGTTCATACTGATCTCATCAGCACCCCCGGGAGGGCCTGCTGGGGCTGCAGGAAAGCAAGCATTGCCTGCTCAGCCCTGGGCTGGGGGTTGGGGTTTCGGGGAGGGAACATGCAGGGGCTCCCTTGGCTGGTGACTGGAAGGAGCTGGTGAGAACTCCTCCCCAGCCCCCACAGACGTTGTGCTCCTGAGGGGCAGGAGTCTCATCTTTGCTTAGTCCAGGGCAGGATTCCACCTGCCATTGTGATAGCATTGCACAGGCCGGCAGACGCTGGAAGGGCCTTGGGAAATGGTGGTGACAGCTATGGTGGGGGGTCCTACGGGACTCCCAGGACTCAGCAGGTCTGCGAGTCCCCAAGGCAGGTTCATCATTTCCCTAGCTTGGCCGTTTGCCTTCATCTGCCAGGCTTCGATTTTCAGGAAGTGCCACCGGCTCTGTAAAGCTCTGACTTGCCATGGCTTGTTTCTTCCTGGGTTCTTCCCACATTTGTGGCTCCTTCTTCTTTTGGGCAGGACACCCCATCCTGACACAAGCCCTTCCCGACCTTGGGGTGTCAGCTTTGTTTTGCCCTCTTCTACCCTGCCTCCCCTGCTGTGTGTCTGGGGGTGGAACCGGAGTTTCTGCAGGGCTCGTCACCCTGATTCAGGGCCAGGTTTCCTGGGGGACCCTGGCTGAGGTGCAGGCAGAGCTTACCTGGCCGCAGCAGCTCTGCCCCAGTGCCAGTGCTCAGAATGCCCCAGGCTTTCAGGCGGTGGCCCTCCCGCAGCATGACCTGGGACAGGTGGCCCAGCACGGTGTCCAGCTGGGGAACCGCCCTGCAGGGGCACAGGAGCACTCAGGGATGGGAAAAGGACGTTTTGTTTTGGCCAGTTTGGGGATCCTATCAGATGCACTCACGCCTCCCCATTTCCTGTCTCCCTAAGTCTGACCCAGGTTGGCCAGGTCCACACCTTTCTGAGTTCTGCCCAGCTGGAGAGGACTTCTCTGGCCTGGAGCCTGTCCATGCTTTCAGCAGCTGCTGAGCCTCCATCAGTGCTGAGCAGAAAGAGGCCCACTGCTCCTGCCTCTCGTGGAGGTCTTGGCGAAGGAGCTTCAGTTGGTGACGAAGGCTGGCTGCATACTCGCCTGCCAGGTGCCCCCTCCGCCTGGCCTCCTCCTCTGCTGCCCTGGCAGCTGCCTCAGTAGCCTGGGTCAGAGACAACCCTGCCTTCTCACCTGCAGGTGCTACAGTCATCAGGGACAGCAGGCTGGGGAACACCCCGCTCATCCTGGGAACTCCAGAGTTATTCTGGACAGGCATGGCAGCAGCAGCAAAGGGGGTGAGAAATTCCCAGGGATGGTGGGAACTGTAGCTAAAAGCCTTAGTGCTGGGGAGATGGAACAGGTGACGGAGGTGGTAAGGGAGGGATCCTCGACCTCAGTGAGGGGAGGGAGTTGTGTTTGGGTACAGAGACCGGAGAGGAAGGCATGAACCAAGCCCCCACCTGCTGCTGCTCCCTCTGCATGCTCCCCAGAAGCCGACTAGTGGAGGCTGGGAGGCAGCGCCTTGCTCCCCACAGCTGCTGGAGAGAATGGGCTTCGCGCAGAAGTTTAAGGTAGAGGAGTTTGAGCTGCAAAGAGAGGGTGGATTGAGCCTGTGTGAACTCTGTTCCCGGAGCCACCCAGCCTCTCACTGCTGTGATTGCAGTGCCCCCTGCAGCCAACAGCTGGAGAGACTCCGGAAACCCATCCTCCCTCCACCCCCACCCACCACCACCCCAAGACACTTGGAAAGAATGCATGAAGACGGACACAGGCTAGTCACAGCCAGTCTCAGCATACACGTTCTGCTGTGGAAGCCCTGGCCCAGTTTCGATACTTGGATTTCTAGTGTATTCTTTTGGCTTCTAATGCCTGTCATCTACTGACATAAATTTGCTCACACAGTTGGAGTACTGAGGACTAGGGATGGAGATCTAAGAAGGAACTCCAGCGGTGGCCTTAGAATATTCCTTATCATTGACCTGAAGCCCAGGTTTCATGAGATCAGTCCTAAATTTAATCCGAAATCTTCTATTTTCCCGCACATATACTCTCCTTTATTCTGATTCCTTAAGGAGTTGATAGACTGAGGAGTTCTTTGGCCTTTATGTCGCATAACTGACTCTCCTGAAGAGGAGTCTGTTTCTAGCCCCATGTGTTCCTCCAGTTTGCCTGGAGCTGTCAGTTACCTCTTCCTTGGTCTGGCTGAGTTTGGCTGTCACTGACAGAGACTGCCTGAGCAGGATTCCAAAGAAGGCCTCTGTGTTAAACCATTCCAGGTCCACCTGCTCCTTGGCCTCCCAGCTCCCATCTGTGGGGGTTGGGGGAAAGCAGGATTATCCTCCTGAAATGCAAATATGAGCTTCCCTGCAGATCTTCCACGCATCTTTTTCCTATCGAACCTCAACAATCGAGGCAGTCTTGCTACTGAAAGTGTAGTTCTTGGGTAAGGAGCATCAGTGCTGCTGAGGAACTTGTTAGAAATGCAGAATCTCAGGCCTCATCCCAGACCTACTGAAGAAGAACCACCCCAGGAAATTCATATTAAAGTTCTAGGAGCACAAACAAATCCCAGTGCTGCTGTCTGAGGACCATACTGTGAGTAGCAAGGATAGAAGAGGAACCCCTTAGTGTGACATACAATAAATACCTCTGAAACTTGGTCATCTAGGTAGTGCTAGTACCAAGTACACAGGTCACTGTGTAACTTGTCCACTTTGTACACAGTTATACTATGTTTCTTTTCAAAAGTGTCTTTAGATGTTTCTTTCCTCCTCTATATTGCCTACTCCTGGTGCCCGTAGTGTCTGACATACAGCAACCACTCAGTAAAGATTTTTTGAACAAATCAGCGAATAAATGAACAGGAATTGAGCATTGAGCAATCTTGGAAGACGGGAAAAAGAAGGAGGAGCTGGCCAGTTGGATCTGGGTTACCTCTGGGATTCTAGCCCACCTGTCACTCACCAGGGCCCCCCTCAACCCTGGGGGCATCAGAGTCTTGGTGAGATCGGCCTCTCCTCATTGACATTATTCCAGTTCTTGGGGAGGTGTAGCCGTCGAGGTTGTATTCTTGCTGATGTCTCCTGAAGGTAGGGTGAGGAGCAGTCTTCCGAGCCCAGCTCAGGCTGTGACACTGAATCTGTAGAGTACATAATGTGGGGTGGGAAGGGAAAGGTGAACCGAGGGCGTGGCTTCCTTTCTGAAGACTCTGAAAGGAGGCGGGTCATGCTTGGAGCAGAGCGGTGGTTAGGGAGCACCTCATCCTCTCTTGCTTGCTAATTGTTTGGGTCTCTGTCATTTTTTCCCCTCTCTGATTCATCTCTGTCCTCCACCCTACTGCTAGAGGACAAATAAAAGTCAGACCAGGTTTTCTCATTTGCTAAAAATTCTTATCCCTTGCCTAGGGGATAGGGTCCAAACTTCTCAGCAGGGCCGGGAGAACATTCACAATTTAGTCTCCCTCCCAGTTGCAGCCTTATCCCTGTCCTCACACCTCAGCACCAGTCATGGGAAACCCCATTTGGTTCCCTGAAGGTGCCTGTTTCATGCCTATGTTCTTGCTGTGCTCATGATACTCCTCATCTCTGTCCCTCCTCCCCAGTGCATACTCCCTACTCCTCAACTCACCAACCCTCTTGTAATGCAGGGACCATGTTATATTAAAGACTTCTCCTATTTCAAGCCTCATTCAGGGATCAACTCTTCCTGAGTCTGTCCTGACCCCCCAGGGAGAACAGTCAACTCTTGCCTTTGTGTGGCTGCGGCTCCCTGGACGTGCTTTAGCTAGCTCCATTATATTTGCTGACATGAATTTGTTTCAAGCCCTGGAGGCTTGAAACTGCACCTTTGTCATCTTTGCATCTTAGCAACTATTAGAATGCTTATCATAAATGGGACTAGAAGACCCACTTATAGGGGATTGAGAGCTGGTCTTGTGTAGTGGTTAAGAAGTCGCTTGTACATAAGAGCAGAAAATCAAACACCGCATGTTCTCACTCATAGGCGGGTGTTGAACAATGAGAACACATGGACACGGGGAGGGGAGCACTACACACTGGGGTCCGTTGGGGGGAAATAGGGGAGGATGGGGGGGTGGGGAGGTGGGAAGAGATAGCATGGGGAGAAATGACAGATACAGGTGAGGGGACGGAAGGCGGCAAACCACACTGCCATGTGTGTACCTATGCAACAATCTTGCATGTTCTTCACATGTACCCCAAAACCTAAAATGCAATAAAAAAACAAAACAAACAAACAAACAAAAACCAAAACAACAACAACAACAACAACAACAACAAAGAAGTCGCTTGTCTGGCTTTACTCACCATTAGAAGCAGGCAAAGCCCCAGGAGCAGCACCATCTCCCCTAGGAGTCCTGGCCAGCCAGACCCCTTCAGGGGCCGGGGGATCCTGGCGATGCCAGTCTGGATGAGATACCTTGGAGCTGTGGAGGCAAAGGGCCCTTCCCCAAAGCACTGGCCCCCTGGCGGGAGGGCACGGAGATACTGGGTGGAAAGAAGTCTGTTCAGTCTTTGTCCCGCTGTCTACCGGAAACTGGCCCGGAGACAGAGTGGGACCCATGCCTGCCAACACTGACCAAACAGTTGGATGATTGTGTAAACCTGGGGGCTGGGAGGCAGAATCAGAGTTTTCCTGGGAAACTTATTTACATCAGATGACTCACATCAGTTGACTGTCTGTATGAGGGAGCTGTGTGCATGTTCTGGGACTAAGTCAGTACAATCTCTTGGACGTTGTGCTGACAGGGAGATACTAAATGCTGTGTATGGCACAAACAGCACACCTGGATCAGTGGTGGTACAATGTGCAGGTCACATGGATAAAACCATGCGTAGGTGGGCTTGGGAGATGTGGAGGGGGAGACAAGTGGAGGGTTGGGAGAGACAGCCAGAGGTCCCAGGCCGAGCAATGCCATTGATGTCCCTGAATACACACTTGTGTTCCCATCCTCCCAACCGTCCCCTGCTTACACCACACATGCCCAGCTGCTGTGGAATGAACCTTGGTGTCCCCGGGACCATCTGTTAGCATTGTGGGACCCCGAAACCGACAGGGATATCAGGGCAGCTCCCCCCCTGTAGATCTGTCTGAGGTGGTTATGAGGCAGTAATTTTTAAAGAGAGGGGAAATGATGGAATAATGTCTTAAATGAGGCAAATTATCATAGACAAACCATCTTCCGATGTCGGTTGCTGCTCAGACGAAAGACGTAAACACCTGTCTGCTGGAACTGCTGCGGAAAGAGGCTGAGGCTTTGCTCATAGAGCTGGGACTCCTCAGCCAGGGCCCGGAAGTACCCCCAGTCAAATTGCTCCAGTGTGTTATAGAAGTGGCCCCTGGTAGAGAGAAAGGAGGGAATACATTGCCTTTGGAAGTGGTGGCTGATGCAAGGGCATTTCCTCTCTAGGGACTCCATGATGGTGGGGCTGTGGACCCTGGACACTCACAGGTCATACTCTGGGTAATGCTCATGAGTCACCAGGAAGGCCAGTGCATCATTGGCTCGGAGGCAGACTGTAGGGTTTCGGATGCCTGGCTCCGGGGGCAGCAGATCCCCAAGGTATGTGGAGTTGAGGCTTAATGACCAAGAAGAGGCCAGATGTCCTTCCCTAAACTTTCCTAAGTAAGAGTCAGAGAATGAGGGAGAGCCGCCACTCTTCAGACGGTTTTTTGCTGGGGCCTGGGAAGGGTAGAGGAGGGATAGGGGTGGGAACAGGTGAGCAGTGATGCCCACCTGGATACTGGACTGGATGTCTGGGATCCCTGAGGGGAAGGCCGAGGGAGTGTAGTAGCTCACCACCTGGTCTGGTCAGGCCCAGGAAGCCATGCCCTAGAACAAGACAGGGATCTCCCTGGCCCTGCAGGAACTGGGATAAGAGTTTTCCCAAGTGCATGTATACAGTCAGCAGCTGTTCAGCCTGGTCTGCACGTGGTAGCTTCAACTTTCTGAAAAATTGAGGAGTCAGAATTAGCATGCACTTCTCAGGGAGCCCTCCCTGGGGGAATGGTTGCCCTATCAAACCCCAGCTGCTAGTTGTGGGACAGAGCACACGCCATGGTAAGGACAAGGCTTGCACGTGTGTGGTCTCAGGCCACAGGCTTCCCTGTGGCCTCCATCTGTCCAGCTCTCTTACCATCCATCTTGACTACATAGAGGGGGACAGACTTCTGCCCTAGCTCCAAGTTGCAAGGATGGCCCACATCACGTGGTGGGGAAGGCCGGTCCAGAAGGAAAAAATCCTGGAAAAAAGAGAGCCAGTGTCAGATCTTCCCTCAAGACACAGGGTCACACACTTGCCCAGCAGGAAGGGAGGGTGAACAGAGCCCCTTTCCTGAGCCATGTCTGAGTTTCCTGAAACAGGGGAGGTGGCAGTAGGAATAGTTCCAAGAACTCTGTGGGGCAGGGGCAGCCTGGAGTCATGACCTCTTGTACAGTGTCCCTCCTCTTTAATGAACACCATGACCTCTTCTTCAAGGAGTTTTGTAGGATGAAATAAAATCAACGAAGGGGGCTTGCTCTGGTTCCGAGCCTCTGATGTTAGAGAGGTTGTGTCAGTGATATGAGCCAGGAAGCAGCAGCTCCCGGATCCTGCACACAGGCACGTCCTGCATGCTCCCTCTTTGGAGACAGGAGTCACAGGCCCTGACTCCGCATGAGATTGGACCTCAGAGTGCTGTACCTGGCTCCCCATGCCTTCAGTGACAGAAATCTGTGGGATGCTGTCAGGGCAGCTGAGCTGCAAGATGTGTCTCTGTCTCTCTGGGCACAGAGGGCTGCACATTCCACTCGACTGTTGTCTCCAGCACAGGCAGAGCCCCAGGCCTGAGTCATATCCACGGACGTCTCCTGGTGTGGCACACACCTGCACAAAGACTCAAACTTCTTGGGGACATCTCCCTGGGGCAGGTCCCCTTCATTTTCTCTGGCTGCTTCTAGGAGTTGCCTGAGAGTGCAAAGTACTGACCTCTATATTTCCAGAGAGGGACCAATGGAATGAGCCTAGTGGCTGGGAGGGTCGGCATTTGAATGGGAGGGTAGAGGAGCAGGAAGCTAAGGGCGTAATAGATGGGCATTCTCCTACCTCGTAGGCACAGTGGTCGTTCCACTGACCCTTGGTCAAACATAGCCCCTCCTGGTTCCAGGTGGCTCCGTCCTTGCAGCTTCTGTGTTCCCACCGGACACAGCCCATTGGCTCTCCAACATCTCGGTAGCCAGGGAGGCAAGGGCACCGACTATCACTGGGCTGGGGGGTGGGGAGGGGAGGGAGGAATGCTGGTTCATGTGGGTGGGTTAATACTTGGTTGTGGTGAATCATGCACAGGTTTTTGACTGTGACCCTTTTGGAAATGGGCCAGAAGACAAGGGCAGGGGAGGGGAAATGAGCAATAAACAGGGACGGGGAGGAGTCAGGGAAGGAGACCAGCCTGTGCTGGTACGTGTCTGGCCGGTGCTATCATTCCAATTAAAAAAAAGACTCGAGACATTCTGCAAAGGAAGAATTCACACACACATTTGTTGCTTTGCAGAGAACATTTGAGTTGGAAGGGCTGGGGCAAGGATGTGTTTTGGAAGTGATCGTGGCAAAGAACAACATAAAGTCTGTCCTTTCGTCGGAGAAGGGGAGCCAGATTTAGCAAGTGAAAACACAGGGTGCCCAGTTAAATGTGAATTTTAGATACACAATGATTTTTTTTAGTATAAAGATGTCTCATGCAATAATAAAAAAAAGTTCTTTATTTATCTGAAATTCAAGTTTAACTGGGCACCCTGTATTTTATCTGGCAACCCTACCCGCAAGTTACTTGGAAACCTGAGCCAACCCTGGTCAAGTTACAACCTGAGCCAAGTTTGACTTGAGACCAAAACAGTCCTGGAAATGCAGCCTGTCCTTGGCCCCCCCTGCCAGAGGACATACCTGGAACACTCGCCCAGGCCCCCAGCAGACACACGTGTCCCTGCCCTTCTCCAGCTGGGTGGCCTCTGAGCCACAGGGGAAACAGGCATCCTGGCCAGGCCAGGCGTTGAAGAACCCGGGAGGGCAGAGTTGGCAGAAGGAGGAGTTGTGGGGTCCTGCTCCGGAGAGGAAAGTGCCCGGGGGACAGGGAGCAGGTGGTGAGTTGGGACAGAGACCACCTGTGGGGGACAGCCATGCAGCAATTAGGACTAAGACTTAGCTTAGGAGCTTTGGGTCACTCATGATCCCACAGGGCCCAAGTGGAACCCTGACAATGCTCTTCTCCCATTAGGGGGCTTCTGAGCCTTAGCCCAGCCCAGGTGTCTCATAAAGCCAGCATCTCCCCTCCAAAGCTGTTTTTCTGTTCCCCACTCCTCAACTGTACCTCCAGCCCATACCCTCTCGGCATCCTGGTGGGTCCAGCTCTTCTTTTGCACAGGGTGTCTCATTGCTGCAGTCCTGAGGGTTCTCTGTGCTCAGGCATGTGGCACTCTGGAGGGCACAGCAGAAGACAGCTATGGAAGTCCATGCCACTGGGACACACTCAATGGAGAGCATCCTCACCCTTTGGGTGGGGGTGACAGCGGCAGAGAGAGACGTAGGCATAGAAGTGAGGGGGCGGACAGATGCTGAGAAAGATGGCTGGGGAGACAGATGGAGAATTAGAAGGGAGCAAAGCACAGAGGCCCAGTGCCAGCAACACCATGAGAAAACAAGATGAGGGCAGCGGAACAGGAGAGGCACAGGGACATCTGGACTCAGGATCCCAATGCAGAGAGAAATGTCCAGGAAGGGCAGCCTCTGCCACCCATGGGAACTCTGGGATGCACTCACTGAATCTTTCATGAAGATAAAATCTGAGCTATGGATCCTCTGAGCAGCCTTGGCTCGGCAACTTAAGTGTCTCCACTCTCTTTTTCCTGCCTCCCAGTCCCCCTGGGATCTTTCCTCTCTGGAGGAATGCCTCCATCTGCTGCCTCTGCTTTCCACGGTTCTTTTCTATCTCCTTTCTCCTCCCTTTCCTTCCCAGAGAAGCTGGTGGGGCGTGTGTACATGCGTGTGCATGAGCATGTATAACTGGGCTGAATGAGGGCAAGGGACATCTCAGCTCCCTTATTCTGCAAGGCAAAAGCCAGCCAAACTCTTATAAGTACTCTCTGTGTGTGAAATAGTGCAGGAGAGATGCAAGGGAATTAAAACCCGAGGTTTCTGCCTTTGGTGTATGTACAGCCAAGTTTCAGAGACCCATATGGTTTTAGCTTTAGAAAGAGTGTTGGAGATTATTTAGTTCTCTTCTCCCAATTTATAGAGGAGAAGACTGGGGCCCAGAAAGACTGAAAATTCATGCAAACAATCAACTGCTCTTAAAGAATATGCATACCCAAAAAAACTGGAAACTGTAAAACTGCCAGTGAATTTTGGATAACCACTATGTGATGTGTCGGATAAAGCACTCAGCGGGTGGTGGCGAGAAAGGCTCCTGGCCCTGTCATTAATTACTTTTCAAAATGGAATGATTAGTTGACTTATCATTTGTAAATCAGTGGTAATAAATAACACTATCTAGCTTTCTTTATAGCTCCTGTGAAAATCAATCAAGGAAACAGGCAAGAAACTGCTTGGAAAGCCATTACGTGGTAGCATAAAGAAAGTGCTGATGGGGGAGGTGTGGCCACAAGGAAGAGGCGTGAGGCTCTGAGACTTGCAGGGCCACCCAGCTTATAGGTCAAACTTACAACATGTAAATGGGACTGGTGTGGGAAAACCTTAAGAAAACTTACTGTATTACTTTGTAATCAGGCCTCGATTTTGAAAATAAGAAATGATGTATCTGATTTGATTGGTCCCACGTAACTCATCAACCTTTCTTCTGAGTGACTTATGGCTTGGTTGCTTCTGAAAAGACACCCACCCACCAAGTATGAGGTGTCCTCCCACTGAGGGCTCTTCATTCACTCACTCATTTATTCATTCATCCTGCAGATATTTACCGTGCACTTGCTATGTACCAGGCTCTCTTCTGGAGCTGGCGATACCTGGAAGAGTTGTGCTGCAAGCTTTGCAGGATTGTTGGATGCTATTTGCAAAGGACTGGAAAGAGAGTCCCTGGGCTGTGAAAGTAAAGCTTTCTCATAGAGTTATATTTGAGGGGGAAGAAATGAAGATCCCTGGGAACCCATATTCTGAAAAAACATAGCTTACTTTAGTGCTGTCCAGTTGAAATGTAGTGTGAGCCACACATGTCATTTTAAATGTTCTAGTAGCCAAGTTAAACAAGCAAAAAGAAACAGGTGAAATTAATTTTAATAAAATTTTATTTAACACAATGTGTTTAAATTACTTTAACATATAATCAATATAAAAGCTAATAATGCGATATTCTTTTTTGTACTAAGTCTTTCAAATCCAGAGTGCATTTGGATATGCAGCATGTCTCAACTTGTACTAGTCCCATTTCAAGTGCTCAGTAGCCATAGGTGGCTGGCGGTTACCATAACGCTCGGCACTGGCTGGCGTCCTCCTGCAAAGCCACATCGCCGCCGGGTCTTCTAGGCGCCTGAGTATCCCCCTTCCCTGCACGTCTCACTCATCTGCGTTTCCCTTGTTTGTCCAGAAGGTGGCACTGTGAGCTTGCAGGAAGTGGCGAGCAGGGCGTGGAGGAGTCCAAAGGAAGGAGGAGAGGAAATGCGGTTGCAGGGGAGGATGTGCGCGCGCGGCTGTGTGTGTGTGTGTGTGTGTGTGTGTGTGTGCGCGCGCGCGGGGGGGGGGGGTGTGCGCGCGCGGGTGTGTGCGCGGGTGTGTGTGCGCGCGCGCATGAGTGTGTATTGGTATGATCTTAATTATTTTTATAGGAAGATTAGCATCGGTGTAATGTTTTGCAGCAATTCCACAACGTTCCTGGCCCTGCCAATCACCTGAGGATCTTTAAAGACAGAGATTCTGATTCAACAGGGGCCCGAGATTCTGCATTTCTAACAAGCTCTCAGTGAAGCCGACCTCAATGGACCATGCTTTCAGCAGCAAAGTGTTGTGAGGAACTTTGATACACACCGCACTTTTTGGTACTCACAGCTACCTTGGGAGATTGACATTGTAATGAACCCCGTTTATTTTATTTTATTTTATTTTTTTTGAGACGGAGTTTCGCTCTTGTTACCCAGGCTGGAGTGCAATGGCGCGATCTCGGCTCACCGCAACCTCCGCCTCCTGGGTTCAGGCAATTCTCCTGCCTCAGCCTCCTGAGTAGCTGGGATTACAGGCACGCGCCACCATGCCCAGCTAGTTTTTTGTGTTTTTAGTAGAGACGGGGTTTCACCGTGTTGACCAGGATGGTCTCGATCTCTTAACCTCGTGATCCACCCGCCTCGGCCTCCCAAAGTGCTGGGATTACAGGCTTGAGCCACCGCGCCCAACCAATGAACCCCATTTTATCATGTTAAGACATGGAGGAGCAAAGAGATTGAATCACTTGCCTAAGATCGTACCAGTAATAGGAGGCGACGTCAGGGTAGGGCGCAGGTATTCTTGCTCCCAAGCCTGTTCTCTCCATATCCACCGCATACATTTCCCAGCTAGTAGAAAGTAGGTTCATCTTGCCAACCTCCCTTCTGCTGTGAGTAGGTGGGTGGGAAAGCTTCCTACATCTCTGAGGTCTTAAGGTATGTTCTGTAACCTTGTGGTCTCTCCATCCTGTTTCTATTATAATCATGGCCGTTAGCTCTCTGCACTTCCCCTCCCTTCTGTGAAATTGATCTCAGAGGTAACTTCTGACCTGGTTGAGTGG